GGAGTTAGGTCCAGGGCAGTCTGGGAAAATTAGTGAGACTCTGTAACAAAATCAAAGGTAAGAAACAGCTTGAGAGAGCTCAGTGGAAGCAGAGTGTCATTTTAAAAATATATCTATATTTTATGTGTATGAGTGTGTTGCCTACATGTATGTAAGTACACCCATGTCATACAATCTTTTCAGCCCCCAGAGCATTATTTTTAAGTATGCCATGTCTTCCTTAAATCCAGCATATTGGCTTGTATTCCTATCTCAAAACTTCCCAGAGCAGCAAGCTGGCATAGATAACGCCCCCATTAAGTTTCCAGTACAAAAAGCGATTGCATATGTTTCCCTGTGTGGCTGGGCATCCCACTTCATAGACAGATGCATGCTACCCCAACAGGCTACGTACACACCAAGGCGGAATTCTCCAACTAGGTGTGCTGTCCCTTTTGAGCGCATATGTTTCCCTGTGTGGCTGGGCATCCCACTTCATAGACAGATGCATGCCACCCCAACAGGCTACCTACACACCAAGGCGGAATTCTCCAACTAGGTGTGCTGTCCCTTTTGAGTACCGAAGGAGCCTCAGTTGACTTAGCTCTTTGTACCTGCAGATCTGCCGCTGTTGAGACTGGCCAATGGGAGAAGCCGGTGTGAGGGCCGCGTGGAAGTCTACCACAATGGCACCTGGGGGTCTGTGTGTGATGATCTCTGGGGCCTGCAGGCTGCTCAGGTGGTGTGTCAACAGCTGGGCTGTGGGGCGGCCCTGGCAGCCCCCAGGAGCAGTCTGTTTGGCGATGGCTCTGGCCCCATCTTCCTAGATGATGTGAGGTGTTTGGGTACCGAGACAAACCTGGGACACTGCCACCACCTCGGCCTGTCTGTGCACAACTGTGGGCATCATGAAGATGCTGGGGCCATCTGTTCAGGTACCTAATCTCTACCTGGTCTGGATCTTCTTCCCAAGTAGCATACTGGGCAACAATAGAACAACCCAGAAGGGTATGGGGTCCCAGATGGAGTGAACATGTCTTGCTTTGCTTAGAACCATTCTGGCTTTAACAGTGACAGTCCCATGTCCCTGGAGCACCCGTGGACTCCAACACTCAATAACATTGGTCAACCTGGTGTCTGGAAAGGAAGGTCCCCTTCCACCATTACAGCCTGTTCCCAGGCCCTATGAACAGAAGTCCTGTAAGCCATGACATGCCTAGAACCAGGGGGTCCTGTGAAACACCTGGGAATGGTCCTTCTATGTGCGTCATACTCCTAAGTTTCTCATGAAGATACTTCCAGACAGAGTTATACCATGTGAATACTCTTCTCTGCTGCTGATTGGCTGGGACTTTCTTGCCACAAGGGACAATTTTTGGGAACCACCAAAAAAAGGAAACAAAAATGTTAAAGCCTGTCTTGTTACCTCTCAGTGCTAATTAATGGATCCACTCTGGGCCTCACCACTGCCCAATGCCACCTCTTCTTCCACCTCCTAGAGGGCCAGGCAGAGGTGAAGTTCCCAGCTGGTGGGAAGAGGGACGTTCTACCCCGTCAGTCAGTGCTTTGCTGGCTTTCTTGTTTTGTCTTGTCTGAAGAGTTCTTCTTTGTTTCATGGTGCCTGGGGTAAAAAAACCTCCAAGTTAAAATGGCATCAGTGTTCGCTGACCTATCTCGTAACCTCAAATCCCCAAGTATTGCCTCCCTATAAGGGTGAGAGATGCTTCCAGTGAGTATTAGTAAATCGTGTGACGGGAAGGTGTCTCTGGGACAGGGTCCAGGTGGGCTGGGTCTTTAACATGCTGGCCTGCCCATGACCACACTGCATATGTGACTCACTGCATGGACACAGACTAGGCCTTTGGCCCACTCGACTCATGGCATTTTATCAGCCGAACCTTCACTGACATAAATGCCCCTGGTTTTCTCTTTCAGCTGTTAAAGATGCCTCCGCTTTGGCAGAAGTGACTCCTGCAGCAGGTAATCCTCTCGTTGTGTCCCTGATGATGGTGGTGATTGGATCTTTCTGGGGAACTCCCCAAGGTTACAGCTTGTACTATGGGTGCCCACCTGCACTATGTACTATGGGATCCCAGCCTCACTAGAATTGCAAAATAGAAAACTGAAAGAGAGAGGGAGGAGAGCCCACTCCCAGAGCTTGATACTTAGCGTCCCTCTAGTTCTTAGAAGAAGATTTTAATTCTGAATTTGCATCAAGAGACAAGTTTAGCCTAAAGGAAAACGAGGAAACTTGAGTCTCATATATCCCAAGCTTATGAATTTGGTGGCTCAGCTCCAAGGACATGACTATCATTGTAATTATAATCAGGTATTTCTGTTCCAAAGACAAGAACAGTGGAACAGCTATTGGAAATCAGAATTATCCAAGAAAAATCAGTTCCTGGACTTAGACAAGATCAGGCGTGTTCAGGGTGGTATGGCTATAGATGTCTAGTCGCTGAACTTAGAATCATTAATTCAATGTAGTCCTGTGAGGCCAGGAGGCAGGAAGCAAAAGTTTCTATGGGGCTTCAGTTTAGAAAGATTATATTAAGAACTAAAGAAAAGCCCCCTGTTTGCCAATGGTACTCCAGTACTAACCTCTGAGTCTTCCCCAGACCTGCTCATGATCAGGTTGGTGGATGGAAAGAACCTGTGTGAAGGACGTGTTGAAGTCTACCATAATGACACATGGGGCACCGTGTGTGACGACCTCTGGGGCATCAAGGCTGCCCAAGTGGTGTGCCGGCAGCTGGACTGCGGGGAGGGCATCAGCACCCTGGGGAGTGGCCACTTTGGGGAAGGTGTGGGGAGCATCCTCCTGGACGATGTGCAGTGTCAGGGCAGCGAGCCCTCACTAGCTCAGTGTTACCACCTGGGCTTTTCTATCCACAACTGTGGCCACCGTGAGGATGCCGGTGTCATTTGCTCAGGTAACCTCTGCTGGCTTTATAAGTGATTCTTAGTGAGGGTCCTGGAAACTAACGTGGGGACATTGGGGTCCTGTTGGGTTACTCTGCTCATACCCCAGGCTCTGGTATAATGTTCTAAGGCTTGCTAGGGCAGCAGATTCATAATGTATATGGTACAGCAGCCCCTCAGCCTACCCTGCCCTTGGCTCCAGGAGGCATCACTCCTGGTTTCCCTCAGTGTGCCCTGTTTGACCCAATACCCATGAGTTCCCTTAGAGCCCACAGACTCAGCTGTTCTTAAGGACTCACCAGATGCTCTCTGAGCAACGGCATTTGTCCTTAAGTTGTCTGGTTTGTACACTGGAGCTGACTTTTACTGCTGGTCTTTGGAATTCCATGAACAAAACCCAGTTTCTCTTATTTACTTTAAAACTCTCTCCTTTTGGCCTCTTGTTCAGGGTGGTTTCCTGAGTTTATTCCTTGTTTTGTTTAATTCAGTAAAGTTTGTGTATTGTCTGTTTTCTTTCTTTTGCCCCACCCCAACAGAAAGTAAAATAGAGACGAAAATCAGATAAAGTAGAATACACCTGGCCAAGCATCTCTTAATTTTATAGGACAAAGACTAGGATTATAGGCGTTCATTTGTTTATTTACTATATATTTCTTGAGCACTTTTTGGGTGCCAGACAGATTTCTCTAGGCACTGAGGATGTGGTATGGAGCAGCGGGGCATACTGCATCTCAGCGGGTGGGCTACAATAGCTACAATAGAACAAGGGCAAATCTAAGTGAAGACTGAATCAGAGGATGTAATACGCTTCATCACATTAAGGAATTGTTTTCCTCTGGTGTTCAGACAGCTCAGCTTTGGGTTATGATCCTAGTCTGATGTAAATGAGAAGTCAGGACATTTGGGTACAAATGCCTGAATGAATAGAACTTAACATGTATGGCAGAATACGTGAGGTTTGGTGGGGGGATGGGAGAGGCGTGGGTGGGGAAGGGGATCTAAATTTGATTAAGAACTGTTGTATAAAATTACAAAAGCTTAACAAAAAAAAAGCAATTGAAGGACAGAATTCGTGAGGAGCCTAGTGGTTTGCTATTCTGGAAAATGCTTTCTCTTTCTTGCCTCAGTGAAGTGGCTTGTCTGATCCTTCCAGGGGGACAAATTACTTCCTAGCCAGGGAGTGTTGCTCATCTCCTGCCTTCATGCATTCCTGTCTCCTTGTCAGTTTCAGTTAAGAAACTGTTCTTAGTTTCAGTCTTACATCCCAGAGGCTGTTTTGTATTGAATTTTAATATGCCTTAGATATCAGCTTTTTAAATAACAAATCATCGAAATTCCTGTTTGCTTTACCATTTCAGCATCAGCCACAGAAATGACTACTTCACCTGGTAATTTTCCTTTTCTTCCCTGCTTTCTATAGGTCAGATTTGTATAAGTTGCCTTGCCTGTGATTAAAGTTATAGTTTTTAATCTCATATAAAAAGTATATACCAGGGCTAAGAATATAGCTGACTAGGTAGAGTGCATACCTGACATGCATGAAGCCTTGGGTTTGATCTCCAATGTAGTGGGGTGTGGTGACACACATGTGTGTGGGAAGTGAAGACAGGAGGCTCAGAAGTTCTAGGCTATCTCTGACTACATAGTGAGTTTGAGGCCAGTCTTCGCTATACCAGACCCTGTTTCAAAAAAATTAAATAAAGATGAACCTGCAGGCCAGGCATGGTGGCATGTGCCTTTAATCCCAGCACCAGGATGTAGAGGCAGGTGGATCTCTGTAAGGTTGAATTTAGCTTGGTCTATATAGCAAGTTCCAGGTCAGCCAGGGGTACACAGTTGGGGCCACAGGGAGACCTGCTTCAAAAAGACCCAAAAAAAAAAAAAAAAAAAAAAAAAGAACCTGCATGCTAAACTTGTACTGAACCAGTTTAAGATGTTTCTTTGCTCATTGACTAAAGCAGTGACTTAACCTAGAATGTTTTTCCCAACTGCCATACTGTGTGTCTACCTTGTTCCCTTTCTCTTGTATGTGCATGTACATTTGTGTGTATACACACATGTGTATGTGGGTACACGTGCACATGTATGCATGTGCATGGGGAGGCCAGAGGTTGACATCGGTTGTCTTCCTTAATCGCTTCACTTTATTTTTTAAGATGGGGTCTCTCACTGAACCTGGAGCTCATTGATTCAGCTAAGCCGACTGGCCAACGAGCTCCAGGAAGCTTGCTCTTTCAGCCTTCCCAGTGCTGGGATTAAGGATGCAGCCTCCATGACCAGGGTTTTATATGGGTGCCAGAGAACCAAACCCAGGTCCTGGCAAGCACTTCACCAACCCAGCCGTCTCCCCAACCGCTGTCTCCTTCCTCTTTGGTGCAATGTCTGGTGTCTGCGATCAAGTTACAGTGAGATGGCTTCAACTCACATTCCTATCAGTGTTGGTACAGAGCAGTCTTCAACCGGTTTTCATTTTTTAATCATCATAGGATTTCAGACACCTAGCACAAAACTCTAATCTACATCTTCAGAAAGTAGTGCGGTACCCCAGTCTCTGAGTGTGTTTCCCAGGACCACACACTAAGTCAGTGTTAGGAAAATTTGAAGGAAGGAATTGCATGGCTGGATAAGTTGGGGGGACAAAAACATGCCCCTCCTTTGAAGATCTCAGAGTTGAGATGTTTTTAAAACATCCTACAGTAAGAGATGTTTTTAAAATTTAGTTTAACCCAATTTTACTCAAACTTCTTTGGCTGAAAGAAAACTCTTTGAATTGGTGACATAGCAGCATAGGATTCCAAACCAGAGGACCTGTTTTTTCTGGCTCCAGTGTTAGCCAGTTGGGTGATAGTCCTCAGGTCCCCTTACTTCTCAGAGCTGCTGTTCCTTCATCTGTAGAACAGGAGAATGGAGAGTCGCTGTAGAGTCACGTCCTGGGGACCAAGTGGCCTACACTTGTGCAGGGCACAGTGATGGATCTCCTCAGGGATGTAGGGATGTGTACTGCTGACCTCTGAGACCTGGATGGCTCTCTAAGGCAACCAGCTCTGGTATCCCTTTGTAACTTCTTCTGCCAGACACTTTGGGAACCTTTCTAGGCTCTAGTTGATCACTGTATGCCTAAATAAGTTGGAGAAATACTAACTTCAGGCAAAGTAGCTCAGCCCAAGTGTCCTCTGAACCACCAACAGTTATAAAAGTAGTCTGTCCTCCACATTTCTAAAACCACGATAATAGTAAATAGTAAACTGTCCTTGAAATGACATCAGACAAGGAAGCGTTGTTCCTCCTTTTGTGTTTGGACCTGTGAGATGTGCCCAAATGTTCTAGGCCAGGACAAGTTAGGTGTGACACTTAAGATGCTGCATTTTTCCAAGGACTGGAAGAAACCTTAGAGATTGCAGCGGGCAGAAGCCGCAGATGGGAAGGGAGCCCCTGAGCCACTCTCCCACCAATAAGTCTAGACTCACCCACTAGGTGTCTTGGTTCCGGTCCGTGTGCTACCTCATTATGACTCATTTCCTTCAAGCTCATGAAACAGAACAGGAGACACACATGGAAGCAGAGCATGAGAGTGTGTCGGAGCACATCTGTCTACAGGTCACTTTTCCAAAATGTTTTATCAACGAAACTGATTGACAGGGATGTTATTTAATCATAATTTTCTTTAACTGCTTATTTTGACAGTTCCCACCTCAACTTCAACCACAGATTTGATTCTTACAACTGGTAAGTTTTCTGTTCCGTTATTAACCTGCTGCCTATCTCAAGGATACGGCTGTGTTGAAATTCTACCATGATAGTGGCTTTACTCCTGGTTGTCCAAGAGTCACTTGGCTGAATTAATCTTCTGGAAGAGTAGATCCTAGAGGTAGATGAAGAGGGCCTCTATGGAGCCAAGTCAAGACCCCCAAGTTCAAGTCTAAGTAAAGTGCTTGAATACACATGCAGGCATTCTACAAAGCCTCTATCAGGGCCTGCCAGTTTGTTCTTACTTGTGTGTGTGTGTGTGTGTGTGTATGTGTGTGTGGCATATGTGTATGTGTGTGTATGTGTGGTGTGTGTGTGTGTATGTGTGTGTGTGTGTATGTGTGTGTGGTGTATGTGTGCGTGTGGTGTGTGTGGCATGTGTGTATGTGTGTGTATGTGTGTGGTATATGTGTATGTGTGTGTATGTGTGGTGTGTGTGGTATGTGTGTGTATGTGTGCATATGTATGTATGTGTGGTGTGTGTGTGCTGTGTGTGTATGTGTGTGTATGTATGTATGTGTGGTGTGTGTGTGGTGTGTGGTGTGTGTGTATGTGTGTCTGTGTATGTATGTATGTATGTATGTATGTGTGTGTGGTGTGTGGTGTGTGTGTATGTGTGTGTATGTGTGTCTGTGTATATGTGTGTATGTATGTATATATGTGTGTATGTGTGTGTGGTGTGTATGTGTGGTGTGTGTGTGTATGTGTGTGGTGTGTGGTGTGTGTGTATGTGTGGTGTGTGTTGTATGTGTGTGTATGTGTGTATGTGTGTATGTGTGTGTATGTGGTGTGTGTATGTATGTGTATGTATGTGTGTGGTGTGTGTGTATGTGTGTATGTATGTGTGTATGTATGTGTATGTGTATGTATGTGTGTGGTGTGTGTATGTGTGTGTATGTATATATGTGTGGTGTGTGGTGCATGTGTGTGTATGTGTGTATGTGTGTGTCTGGTGTGTGGTGTGTGTGGTGTGTGTGGTGTATGTGTATGTATGTGTGTGTATGTATGTGTGTGTGTATGTGTGTGGTGTGTGGTGTGTGTGGTGTATGTGTGGTGTGTGGTGTGTGGTGTGTGTGGTGTGTGTGGGGTATGTGTGTGTATGTGTGTGTATGTGTGAATGTGTGTGTATGTATGTGTATGTGTGTATGTATGTATGTGTGTATGTGTGTGTATGTGTGTGTATGTATGCATGTGTGTGTATGTGTGTATGTGTGTGTCTGGTGTGTGGTGTGTGTGGTGTGTGTGGTGTATGTGTATGTATGTG